ATGAAAGAAATGTAATTTTCTTTTTTGAAAGAAAGCTGCCGGTGGAAAGTGGGGCCAGGATGAAATCTTGTTGTGACAAAGGCCATCCCTTGGGGCCCTCTATGCAGGGGTGCCCGAGGAGCCCCTTGGAGCTGTGCTGGGCCCCAGCAGCAGTGAGCAGCCAAGTCCCTGCGAGCGGTGCCTCTGCCAGCCGGGAGCTCTCCCGTTTGCTGCACTCAGGGCATCCCTGCAGATGGAACAGTGTCACTGGAACTGCCCCAAAACTGCTCCGGTGGGGACCCTGCAGGGACAGGAATGTCACTGGGGACCCCCAGCACCCACCTTGCCCCCATCCACTCTGATGGGGATCCTGCAGGGAAAGGAGTGTCACCAGGACAACCCCAACACCCACCCATCCCTCCTTCCTCCTGAAAGGCGGTTGTAATCAGATGGGGGCTGTTCTCTTCTCTCAGGCAACCACTGACAGAAGGAGAGGACACAGTCTTAAGCTGTGCCAGGGGAAGTTTAAGCTCGACATTAGGAAAAAAATCTTTACTGAAAGAGTGATTGGGCATCGGAAGGGGCTACCCAGGGAGGTGGTAGAGTCACCGCACCTGGATGTGTATAAAAAAAGACTGGATGTGGCACTCAGTGGCAGGGTTTAGTTGATAAGGTGGTGTTAGGTCACAGGTTGGACTTGATGATCTCAAAGGTCCTTTCCAACCCAGCTGATTCTGTGAACTTTGGTGCTACTGCTACTTTTCCTCTCCCAGAGGAGCCTCTTCCACAACAGACCCTGGAGGAGGGGACAGGGACAGATCCGTGTCACCCCTGGGGCCCTTGGAGGCGGTGGGATCTGGGGTAGGGGTTGTCCACCTTGAGATTGATGAACTGGGAAGTTGGGGGGGAGTCTCTTTTTAGGGCTTCTCACAGCCCCCCAGGGGGTCCTCCCATCTGGGTCTGGGAGGGACTGGAGTCAGCACACACAGTACTCCCAAACCACCCTTCTTTCCCTGGGAAACATCCCCAAAGGTGCCAGATCCTGCCGGCATCTGGTGCAACCAAGCTTTGGGTAGGCAAAGCGGGGCTCAGGGGGGCAAAGGAGAAGGGGCAGAGGGGTTTATCCTGCTTCTGGTTCAGTGCCCAGTGCTGATGCCCAGTGCCAGTGTCCAGCCTCAGTGCCCATCCCCGCTGTCCAGTCCAAGCATCCAGTGCCCAGTGTCAATGCTCAGTACTGGTGGCCAGTCCCACTGCCCAGCCTCGTGTCCAGCCCCACTCCCCAGCCCCAGTCCCAGTTCCCAGCCTCATTTCCCAGGCCTGGTGCCATGATGCCACTGATCTAGGACAGTCCCCACCCCGGTCCCAGATGGGTGCCAGCCCCACTGCCAGCCCCAATACCAGGTGTGTGCAGATGTGTGCCAGTGTCACCCCCCATCCTGGGGGACACAGGACAGCTGCCAGTGGGGCCCAGGGCCAGGCAAAGCCACACCAGTCCTGGAGGAAGCAGAGGGTTTTAACCTGGGGATCAGCTGGTGCAGCAGCGAGAAGGAAGCAGTGATGGGGACAGTGATGGGGATGGTGACAGTGATGGGGATGCAGCCATGCAGTTTTTTCTGGGCCCTGGGGCATGGCATGGGGCATGGTGTGAAGTGTGGCATGGGACACAGCACAGGACAGATGGCACACGGCATGCTATGGGTTGGAACATGACCCTGGAGCCTGGCACAGGACACAGGACATGACACAGGATATGGGACATGGCTGGAGAGCACAGGGACATGGGACATGACTGTGGAGCATGGCATAGGACACAGGGCACAGGACATGGGACATGGCATGGGACATGACCATGGAGCACAGCACAGGGCTCAGTCAGTCCCAGTATCATCACCCTGAACCTCCTCCCACCAACCCCACTGAGATGCCCACCCCAAGCCCTGGGGACACAAGTATCCCCTGGAAGCTGGGCCAGCTCTGGATCCCCTGGAAGAGGGCATTGCCAGGGCAATTGGTGTGGCTGAGCTGGCAGTGGCCACACAGAGTGAAGTCTGGCTGGACGCAACCAGAGTGGACAGCACAGGGCTGGAATTTATCCTTCATCAGGGTCCAGCAGGGTGGCCGAGAAGTCCTGGATGATGCCAGTGCTGAAGCCCTTGGTATTGTAGTCCTTGGTGTGGGCATCGACCCAGTGCCACCCTCGACCCTCGTACAGGTACCCATCCGAGCCCACCACGAAGCTACAAGGACTGGACAGTGGGGATCCAGTGGTGGGAACCATGGGGGGACAGTGGTGGGGACAGTGAGGGGACAATGGTAGGGACTACAAGGGGACAGTGATGGGGACCTTGGAGGGCGACAGGTCCTTCAGGTGGTGACAGAGCTCGCCAGAGTACAATGACATCTCCCTTGGGGGGTACCAACACCCTCAGAGGGTGACAGTGACCTGCAGCCAATGTTGTCACAGCTGTGGGTGTCCTGGTGGAAGCTCTGCATGTCCCTCATGGCATGGGAACAGGTGCAGCAGCTCTGGCGTGGCCTCACTGGCTCCAGGGTGTGGTGCAGGAACATGCAGCAGGAGCCACAGCAATTACAGGGTGCCCCAGTAGGGACCAGCCCCGACATGCAGTGGGACAAGGGGCTCCATGTATCCCCTGAGCCCTTGGGGATACATCAGAGTCTGCGTGGGGACAAGGGGCTCAGTGGGTCCTTGGGGACACGGCAGAGTCCGTGTGGAGACAAGGAGCTTTACAGATCGTTGGGGACACATGGGAACATCTGAGGAACCCTCAGCCGGGATGTGGGAGGGTCCTCCTGGGATTTACTGAGGAGATGGGAAGGAGCTACCCAGGGTGTCCTTTGGCGGGAACATGAGGTGGCCAGTGTCCAAGGGACACAACAGTGTTGGCCATGGGGACGTGGTGGTGGCCACCTAGGGACTGCCACCCAGGGGAGAGAGTGGTGGCCATCCAGGGGACAGAGTTGTGTCCATACAGAGGACATGGTGGTGGTCATCAAGGGAAAACCATGGTGTCCACCCAGGCAGCATAGTGGTGGCCATCCACAGGACATGGTGGTGACCACCCAGGGGACACAATGGTGTCCACCCAGGGGACCCGAAGATGTCCCACTACACCAAGCCACCTGTCCCTGCCGTCATCTCTCAGTGCCCACGCATGAGAGTGACCCCACCCCACTCACCTGGGGTCCCCTCTCACTCCTTCCCACCCCATTTGTGCAGTGACAACCCCCATTTGTGTGGTGACAAACCCCCTTTGTCTGGTAACAACTCCTGTTTAGGGGGTGACAATCCCCACTTGTGTGGTGACAACCCTGTTTAGGGGGTGATATCCCCTGCCCATACCCATGTAGCACTCATTTAACTCCTGTGACACCCGACAACCCACGACCTCCACCTGCTGTGTCCTCACATCCTTCAGGAGCTGCCAGGTGACAGCACCCACAGCATCCCCCAAACCTCCTTTTGTCTTCTCCTTCTCCAGCTGTCCTGGCCACACCAGCGCCCCAAAATCCTGGTGCCATAACTGCTGGGGGGGGGGGGTCTCCCCATTTCCAAGCCATTGCTAGTCCTGTAGTAGCCCTGGAGCAGCTTGGCCAGCAGGATGGGGTCTCAGGCCATTCGTGCCCCCAGGACCACCCCATCCATGGCCCTGATGACCACAGCATCGGGGACAGGGGACAGGAGGCCCTGCAAGGTGTAATTTTAGGAGTTCTCCACGTGGTCCCAGCAGCTGCTGGGTTCCAGCATGGTCCCATTGTTGTCACCAGGAAAGATGTCCCCACAGCCTCAGTGATGGTGGCAGTGAAGAGAGGATCAGCAGGGGGTTGAGGCTGGGGAGGGGTCGCCCAGATCCTCCATACCTCAGCCCCATCTCAGTGCTGGAAAGAGGGGACCAAGGGCCACCGTGGAGCCATTGGGGGCCAGCATGGCCCCATGGTCCAGTGTCACAGGGTCACAGCGCAGGAGCTCGGTCAGGAGCTGCCACTGCCTGGGAGTGAGACCTGGGAGGGGATCCCGGGGGTGCTCACCCAGCCCTGCCTGGCACTCCAAGATGCTGCAGACCCTCAGCCCCCACCCCAGTGCTGTGGCGGTGGTAGGGGACCTTCCCTGGGCTGGGGACTCAAGGGTGTCCATTATGTCAGTCACAGAGAACACATGGCATGCAGGACACCCCTGGGGACACCTGGGGGGACAGGGGTGGGCAGGGAGTGGAGGCATGTGGGGGGAAGGGTGGGAACGGGGTTGAGAGGGAGAAGACACCCAAAAATGCATCAAAGCCAGGGGGAGGGCAGCCATAATTAAGGGAAAGGACCAAAATGCACCTGAAATAGGGAAAGGACCCTAAACGGAGGGGAAAGACCCAAAAGAAGGGGAAAGAACCCAAAACAGGGTTAAAGGACCCGAGAGGGGGAAAGAACCCAAACCAAGGAGAAAAGACAGAAAACCGGAGGTCAAAGTGTTGTTGGTGCTGTGGGGTGTCATGGGGTGTCCCTCTCTGTGCTGGCACAGGCGCAGAAGCTCAGTGCAAGGAACAGCCACGGGAACATCCTATGGGACACGGGGACACGCTGTGGGACACGGGAATATCCCACAGGACACGGCCCCGGGACCTCGGGGACTTCGGTCCTGCCGGGGCGGGGGGGGCAGGGGACATAGAGAGAGGGACAGGGACACACGGAAAGGAAGAGGGTCACACGGGGGAGATGGGGACGGGCACACTCAGAGGGGACAGGGACATGTGCAGAGGGATAGGGACACACGGGTGGAGAACAGTGATACACAGAGGGGGACATGAAAGGGGGGACAGGAACACATAGAGGGGACAGGGACACACACAGGGAGACGGGGACACACCAAGGGGGGAACACGATGCCACCAGGACACACTTGTGGGGACGCTGACACCGGGACATGTCAGCACCGGAAGCCACCAGGACGCGTCAGAGGACGCTGCCCCCAGAACGCGCATTACGACAAAAGGCGGATCCGGTGACAGCCAGCGCGGCGCCACGTGACCCCGCGGGGACACCGCCCGTGCCCGACCCTTGCCCTGTCCCCAGCCTGTCCCCAGGAGCGGTTCCATGGCGGTGGCCACGGCGCTGGGTTCCCTGGGCGCGGTGGCCCTGGGCACCTTTGTGGTGGCCCTGCTGCTGCGGTGGCTCTGGGATGCGCTGGTGGCTGTCACCCGATTCCGGGCCACTTGTCGCCAGCTGAACAAGTTCCCCATCCCGCCCTGGCGCAATTGGTTGCTGGGACACACCGGCATGGTAAGGGGACAGCGGGTGGCACCTGCGGGGACAGGGGTGGAGGCAACTGCAAAGGAACAATTGGGTGGTGGCACCTGTGAGGGGACCGAAGGAATGGGGTGGTGGCACTTGGGGGGGCGGGAGCATGAACGGGACAGTATTGTGGTGGTGGTGGGGATGTGTTGTCCTTGGTCATGGGACACCTCATGGCATGGACATGTCAACCCAGGGACTTGCCCTCTAGGCCACTTGTCACCACCCATGGCCACGTCCCCCATGTCCTCATCCATGGCCATATAGCCCCATGCCCCAATTATATCTGTAATCCCCCCATGCCCAATACCGCCATCCACAGCCATGTCCGCACCCACGTCCTTGTCCATGTCCCCATCCCCACCATGTCCCCACCAGGTTTCCCAATGTCACCATCCGTGTCTTAGTTAAATGTCTTTATTTTTACCCCAGTGTTTGGGTGAAGGGATGAAGCACCTGCAAGGGGACAGTGGGGACAGGCTGTTGGCACCTGTGAGGGGACAGTGGGGACAGACACACATGTCCCCAAGGCTGGCAGTGTCCTGAGGACACACATGTCCCCAGGCTTATCTGTGCCCCCAATGACACACATGTCCTGTTGTCCCCAGGGCCACAGCACGGAGGAAGCCCTACAGCAGGTGGACACCTTGGTGGCCCGGTACCGTCATGGCTGCCTCTGGTGGGGGCTTCCCTGGCTGCCTGTCCTGCGCCTCTTCCACCCGAGCACCCTCCGACCACTCCTCAGTGCCTCAGGTAGGACATGGGACATCAGATGGGTCCCCAGGGCCACCCATGGGTGTCACCACACCTGGCACAGAGACCTAGCAGTGCCCAGGCAGTGGCCACCAACCCAAGCCCATTATTATTAAAAGGTCCCCAGAGGTGTCACCATGGCCAGACCAAATGCCACCCCACAGTGGCCACCAACCTGTCCTTGAGGTTCCCCAAGGCCACCCAAAGGTGTCACCATGTCCAGCCTCTGGTTGTCACCCAACCCTCGTCCTTTGGTGGCCATGGGTGCTGGGAGAGGGTCCCCACCCCAGGGTCCCCACCTGAGGGTTAATGGGTGCAGACTGGGCAGTGCCACCCCCAGTGTCCCCACACAGGGGACCTGATGGCACCCCAGTGAATCCCTGCTCACCCCATCCTTGTACCCTGCAGCTTTCGTGGCTCCCAAGGACAAAATTTCCTACGGCTTCCTCAAGCCCTGGCTGGGTGAGTGGCGGGGCTTAGGGTGGGGACAGCACCCGGGGGTGCCCTGTGAATGGAGTTGGGTGTCACAGGAGTGGGGACAGCGCCCCTGGGTGGGCCCCCAGATGGATCTGGATGTGTCACGGGGGCAGTGAAGGACAGGGACATCACCCCTGGGTGCCCCCAGGATGGATCTGTGTGTGTCACAGGGGACAGGGCAATGGGGGACAGGGACATGACCCCTGGGTGCCCCCAGGACGGATCTGTGTGTGTCACAGGGAACGGGGTAGTGGGGGACAGGAACATCATCCATGGGTGCCCCCAGATGGATCCAGATGTGTCACGGGGGACAGGGATGGTTGGGGACAGGGACAATGCCCTCCCTGGTTGCCCTCGGCGGACCCCGGTGTGCCCTCCCCAGGGGAGGGGCTGCTGCTGAGCAATGGGCAGCGCTGGGTGCGGCACCGGCGACTCCTGACACCCGCCTTCCACGGAGATGTGCTCCGGAATTACCTGGGAATCTTCAACCAGAGCACCCGCGTGCTGCTCGTGAGAGATCCGAGATGTACACGAGTCCCCACCTGCACCCCAGATCATGAGTGCTGCACCCCAAATCCTGACCTGCATCCCAAACCCTGACCTTCATCCCAAACATCGAATCCCGCACACAAAATTCTGTCCCACACCCACTGCTGCATCCTGATTCTTGTCCTGCACCTGGAGTCCTGTCCTGTACCCAAATCCTGTACTGTCCCATACACCAAACCCAAACCTGCTCCCAAACCCCAACCTCACCCCTCGTTCATCACCGCATCCCTGTTCCACACCCCCACCCCAATTCTTCCCCCTCTCCCACCCCTGTCCCACCTCCCAGTTTATCCCCTGTCCCCTGTCCCTGATCCCTTCCCTGTTCCCTCCCCAACCCATCTCTGCAGGCCAAGTGGGGGGCAGCAGCAGCGGCAGCTGGTGGGAGGCCAGTGGAGTTGGAGGTGCTGCAGCCCCTGAGCCTCCTCACCCTGGACACGCTCCAGAAGTGCATCTTCAGCCATGAGAGCCACTGCCAGGAGTGAGTGTCACCTGTCCCCATTGACCATCCTGGTGGCCGTGGTGACCCCACCGTTGTCCCTGCTGGCCATCCTGCTGGCCGTGCTGGCCCCACCATGGTCCCTGCTGGCCATCCTGGTGACGGCGTAGGCCCCACCATAGTCCCCACAGGCCATCGTGGTCCCACCACTGTCCCTGTTGGCCATTCTGGTGGCTCCAATGGCCTTGCTGTCATCCATGATGGTGGCCACAGTGTCCCCCCACTGTTCCTGGTTCAGGCGACCCAGTGAGTACATCCAGGCCATCCTGGAGCTGAGCTCATTGGTGGTCCGGCCCCAGTGTTTGGGTGAAGGGATGAAGAAAAATGAAAGAAAATCAAGGCCAAAATTAAAGGATTTACGTGTCCATGCTAGCTGAGTATCCATGTGCCTGGGTGGGTAGAAAGGGCCTTTTCTAGAGGAATTTCCACTCCACTGCCTCAGCTCATTGGTGGCCTGGCGCCAGCTCCAGCCACTTCTCCACCCGTGGTGGCTCTACAGCCTCTCCTCTGATGGCCGGCGCTTTGCCTGAGCCTGTGCCACTGTCCAGGCCTTCACTGCTGATGTGGTGCAGCGCCGGCACCAGGCACTCGCCTGCCTGGGCCACCAGGCCTGGCTGGACGGCCACCGGGGACGCAGCATGGACTTCATCGACCTCCTGCTGCTCACCAAGGTGGGGCTGACTGGTGGCCATGGGGACATGGAAGTGGTCAAGAGGGTGGCTGTGGCCATGGGGAGATGGTGATGACCATAGGGTGGTGGCCATGGGGGGACGGTGGTCAAGGGGATGGTGGTGGCCATGGAAGGGCTGGCCATAGAGGCCAGGAGGATGCTGGTGGCCATGAGGGACTTGGGCATAGACTGGTGGCCACAGGGGAACAGTGGTGGCCATGGCCAGCATTGACCATAGAGCTGGTGGCCAGTGGGATGGTGGTGCCCATAGGGTGGTGGCTATGGGGGAAGAGTGGTGGCCATGGATGGATTTGGCCGTAGACTGGTGGCCCCAGGTGGCCCATGGCTCATCTCGCCCCGGCAGGACGGTTTTGTGCTCCACTCCATCACCATTTGCTGTGGAAGTTGCCCGTGGGCCAGAGAGAATTAGAATAATGGAATGATTTCGTATGGAAAAGACCTCCAAGACCATCCAGTATTCCTTGAAGCCTCCCGAAGAAATGATTGGATGCAAAAGGTGAGATATTTTTGGGGTCGAAAGTAAAAAAATGTGCTGTCCCCTATGAAATTCTGATGTCGGTTTGCATGAGGAGCCACTCCAGTGTCCCCTCACTCACCCAATGTCCCCACAGGTCATGACACCACGGCCAGTGGCCTGGCATGGCTCTTCTACAACCTGGCCAGCCACCCTGAGCATCAGGAGCGATGCCGCCAGGAGGTCCAGGAGCTCCTGGCTGGCTGGGACACTACGGACATTGAATGGTGAGATGTCCCCAGGGCCACCCCTGGTTATGTGGCTCGGGGACACGGTGCCACCCTCGCTTGTCCCCAGGGAGGACCTATCCCAGCTGCCCTTCACCACCATGTGCATCAAGGAGAGCCTGCGGCTGCACCCTCCTGTCACTGCTGTGTCCCGGCGCTGCACCGAGGACATCCCCCTGCGTGATGGCCGTGTCATCCCCAAGGGTATGGCATGGCCAGGGTGTCCCCAGTGTCACCAGCCACCCTCATCTGCTGTCCCTAAAGTGGCCATTCCCATCTCACCAGGGGTCATCTGCCTGATGAGCATCTACGGGACCCACCACAACCCAGACCTCTGGCCTGAGCCTGAGGTAGGGCCACCCTATGATGTGTCCCTGTCACCGTGGTGGTGACAGCTGTGTCCCCTCAGTGTGACTGTGCCGGTGTCACCCCAGGTGTTCAATCCTCTGAGGTTCAGCCCAGAGAACAGCAAGGGACGGTCCCCGTCATCCTTCATCCCCTTCTCTGCTGGCCCCAGGTATGTGGTGGAGGGGGAACAGGAGTGTCCCCAAGTGCCACCCCCATCCCTGGCTGGGTTCACAGTGGGGTGACACTCACAGTGGGGATGTGGTGGCAGGAACTGCATCGGGCAGAGCTTTGCCATGGCTGAGATGAAGGTGGTAGTGGCACTGACACTGTCCCAGTTTGTGCTGCGGAGGGACACGGCGAGGCCACCCCCGCGCCGCAAGCCCGAGCTGATACTGCGTGCTGAGGACGGGATCTGGCTGCTGCTGGAGCCACTGGTGGGAGTGGCCTGAGGGACACGGGTCACCAGGACATGGGGACATCCCCCAAGGGAGGTGTCACAGCCAGGGGAGGAGCAGGGAATAAACGGGAGCATGAACGGGACAGTATTGTGGTGGTGGTGGGGATGTGTTGTCCTTGGTCATGGGACACCTCATGGCATGGACATGTCAACCCAGGGACTTGCCCTCTAGGCCACTTGTCACCACCCATGGCCACGTCCCCCATGTCCTCATCCATGGCCATATAGCCCCATGCCCCAATTATATCTGTCCTTCCCACATTCCCGCCACACATAGAGTTGTATCCCAGTGTAGATCGTCTGGTGGCGGCTCAGGTGGCCTGTATTCCTGAAGCCTTTCCCACATTCTCCACATTTATAGAGCCATTCATCAGTGTGGATCCTCTGGTGGCGGATCAGGTAGGAGCTGATGCTGAAGGTCTTTCCACATTCCCCGCGCTCATACGGCCGTTCCCCCGTGTGGATCCTCTGGTGGACGATCAGGCAGGAGCTCGTGAGGAAACTCTTCCCACATTCCAGAAATCGGTCAGAGCGGAATTCCTCTGGCTGGAACTGGGGAGAGGCCCTGACAGCATCCCGAGACTGGGAAGCGCTTCTCCCAGATCTCCACCGTGACCCCACACCTATTGAGGCAGCACCAAGGGAATCCCTACCGGTGCCCCTGGCGTGGGAAGAGTTTCGTCCGCTGCTCCAGTTCCATCCCCCATGGGAGCATCCGCGCTGGATAACCCATAGTGATCCTCGCTGGGCAGAGACTCGGTGATCCGTGGTCCTGGTAATCACGGATCACCCAGGAGCCGAGCCCCCTGCCCATGGCTGGGGGC